TGCCCAGCTGAGCCGCGTGATCATCAGAGGCTGGTTCTTTTTTTTTACTTTTAAAAGCATTTTTTCGGCCAAAGAGATTTTAGAAAAAAAATGCTTTTAAAAGTAAAAGTAAAAAAAAAGCCTCTGATGATCACGCGGCTCAGCTGGGATCATCAGAGGCTTTAAAAAGCATTTTTTCTGCAACCTCTTCGGCTGAAGATGGTGTAGAAAAAAAATGCTTTTAAAAGCCTCTGACAATCCCAGCTGAGTTGCCTGATCATCAGAGGCTTCTAAAAGAATTTTTTTCTGCAACCTCTTTGGCCGAAGAGGTTGTAGAAAAAATACTTTTAAAAGTTAAAAAAAAAAATTGGCCATGCCCACCCAGTCACATTACCCCCACCACCAAACCACGCCCACAGAACCGGTAGTAACAAATTTTAGATTTCACCCCTGCTGTGGGTCTAATCTGATTAGTAACCTAATCCCTAAAATGAGCCTGTACACCCATTTGAATGTGTCACCCCGAATAACTAAATGGAACATCTCCAGAGGTGGATTCACATAATTTACCTACTGGTTCACCCAGCACCGAAAATGTGAACATGTGCCCGGCCTTCCACGCATGTGCTTTGCTTGCGCACGCACCTTCTGTGCATGCACCCAACCTCAAAAACATGCCTAAATAGGACAGCATAGAGCCGGGGCAGGTAGCACAATTTCCGCTACCGGTTTGCCTGAACCAGTCAGAACCGGATGAATACCACCTCTGAACATCTCTACTCTGTTGTCCATAATACTATATAAATTCTGCCCGATGTTCCCAATTTGGAAAAACAGCTCAAGCAATTGTATGTAACACTAGCATATGACTAGCATAATTTACCAACTAATTACTATAGAATGATTTCACTGCAGCCATTCCAGAAACAGTTAGATGCTCAGCTTCCTTGGATACTGAATTATAGAATCTATTCTATTGCAATTCTATGGTGCCATAATATGGTGATTTTATCATGGATTTACCTTAATTTAATATTTTATCTTCTACTTTGTTCTCCTTCTCTCTGTCTCCCTCTCCCTCTCTCTCTCTCCCTCTCTCTCTCTCTGTCTCTCTCTCTCTGTCTCTCTCTCTCTCTCTCTCTATCTATCTATCTATCTGCTCTACTTAAACTTATATTTGTGTTTGTATGTATAATGTGTTTTACTAGTGTTATATATCACTGATTTCATGACCTTGATAGATGCCATATGCTAAATAAATAAATAACCGGGGAATAAATGACGATTCTAAAATTCTTTCAGAAATATGGATAAAATTCCTTCTCTGGCTATTCATCAGTAATTAACATAGGAGTGTGGCAATATCAAAATAATAAAGATATAATATAATTAGTTAAGTGATTAATAGGTGAGACATAGCAAAATAAGAGCAGACTGGGATAGACAGTATTTCTGGCCATTGTTTATCATTTCAATTAGCAGGAAGATTAGCAGAAAGCCACACCAGATGGCAGGCAGAGGAACTTTTAGCATGCACCTTTAGGAGTTACAGCCTCTTACTTTCTTCCTCTAAGTTCAGGAATCAAAATTCCAGCTCCAGCAGATTGGTGAGCCTAGTATTAAAACAATCAGCATTGAGTAGATCTATATTGGGCTCTATGTAACACATTAAAGAACAGGACGGTACTGAAATGATAAAGTCAAGGAATCATCACAAGAACTGCTTCTGATACAGCCACTCAATCAATATAGTGACTCAGGAGTTGAGCTGAAGGAAATGATTATAGCGAATAATCAAATTTATAAGAGAAAAAGTGAATCTTAATATCTAAATACCTATTCTGTTTTTAAAAAAAGCAAGTGGCAGACATGGCCAGGAAGGCTTTGCACAGTTTCATCTGGTGTGCCAGTTTTGCTTTTTCTTAAACTGAGAGGTCCTTCAGAGAGTCATTTATATTCTAGTCATCTCATGGCCCAATTATGGCAGTGTCCTTTACTTGGGGCTGATCTTGAAGACCACTTAAAAGCTTCAGAATGTGGTGGTATGGCAGTGATACCAATTGGTATACCATGTGACATCCCCACTTTATGAGTTGTACTGGTTGCATTTGCTTCAAGGTGCTAGTTCTCATCTAGAACACCCTACATGACATAGAGTCTGGTATTTGAGGGACTGCTTATATAGTGTAGTCTTGGCCTGGCCAGTTTGATGTAACAGGGTTGCCATACTCCAAGTTCCTTCAATCAAGCACTGCCATCAATCGGAGTCCCAAAAGTGTTTCCATATGAGATCTCGTTGGTTCCCATCCTGATGCTATTCTACCACACAAATTCTGGACCTGTGTCTCTCAGAGACAGAGAAAGTGTGTGTGTTTGTGTTTGTGTGAGAGAGAGACAGAGACAAACAGAGAGAGAGAGATATGTGTATATGTACTTATGATGAGACACTCACCTCACATATGTATGTATGTGTGTCTGTGTATGTATATGTATACACACACATGTACATATGTGTGTGTGTGTGTGTACATATATATGTAAGTGTGGTGGTGGCAGCAACAGAGGTTTCTCTATCAGGGCACAAAGAAAATATCTGTTGCAAACTCTGCATTGGCATTAGGAAGGGCATCCAGTCAGTAAATGCTCAGCTCCATTCAGTCACCAAGATTCCCCTCGGTAAAAGGGATTACAGGACCATAAAATGAATATGTGTGGATAGATAGATGATAGATAGATAGATAGATAGATAGATAGATAGATAGATAGATAGATAGTAAAATATACTATACTCATGCACAATCACTTTTATTATAACTTGACTCGTGCTAAATATAATTTACAAGGTAGGTAGTCAGCTTCTCTGCCACTTAATCCATCCTAATGATCCTAATAATTTTTAAATAAATGCATGAATGATAGATGAATGAATGGGTTGCTTTTAAAGAAACACATTGCTATCTATCTCTTAAGATTTCTACTATATATTTACATGCAATATACCTAAAAAGTTTGAATAAGTATACATTTGCCAACACTGGAAATTATTGCCCAAAGTACCGTAATAACTTACTGTTATTCCTGTTCATTATAATAATGGATTTCATGTTCCAGAGAGAGTCCTGTACCCAGCTGACATCATTTCCTCTCTGTCTAACAGTAAGTCACTAATTGTGGCATAATTATATTTTTCCGCATAAAAGAACAATAGGGTAAAAAAACGAGAGAGAAAGAGAGAAGTCACATGAATAAGAGTTACTGCATCTTTTCGATAAAAAAAAAATCACTTATAAAAATTTATACTAAATTATTGGTTTATCCTCATCAAAAGGTCTGGAAGCTACCAGGAAGCACAGGCATTTTTGAAAATTTCCCTTTTCTAAACCAGTCCTCAATTTGGAAGATGACAGAATCTATGTCCAATGTAATGGATATTCCACAGAAGTGTTCCTCTAGTTCTAACTTATAACTCCTTTATTACTAGGCTAAAATGAAATCTTAGATACTCAATGAGGATTCTGGGAGTAAGTATGCCAACAATTGTACAGTAGATTTTTGTAGATGTCCTAGCTCAGTCTTCTCCAGTCTGATAGATCAAGGTATGTTCGACTTCTCTCCACAGTAGATTTTTTCAAACTGTGAGGTGTACTTTCTTGGGAAGATGAAGATAAAATCCAGGAGAGGTGGACTTTATAATCTTCTAGTTATGGTTTTACAATAAATCCACCTTTCTCAGAATTTCATTGTATTGTTTTCATTGTTCATTTGTGTTTAATTTGGCATTCAGATTTTAAAGGAGGTACATAGCCTAAGATTACATTAAAGGGAGGTACGATTGCAAAATGTTTAAGAATTTTTGTTTTAGAGATAATAGAGTGTCCAACACATTTTCTGGAGAAGGCTAGATTGGGAAATATTATTCTACATGGGACAGATTAGGTTTGAAAATAGTATCTTCTTGAAATATTTTCAATACTGCTGGTAATCTCTAAGATTCTTTCCAATACTTTCTTCCAGAAACTCTGAATAAGCTATAGTATCAAACATGCTACGTACATGCATAGCAGTATACAACATTGAAACATTTAAAATAAAGCTTGTAAAAATACATTATTTTAAAATATAGAAAATGTATAAACAAATGACCATAACTAATGCAATAGTATATTTAAGAGATGCCCATTAACAAGATATGCTATTCCTGGTTGATACCAAATGAATATCCATAGAAGATGGCATAGCCAGGAAGTCTTTCACTAATTATTAGAGCTATCAGATATATGTGAGAAATTGTATTTTCTCAAGTATTCTGTTCACAAGTTCTTCAGGTTTTATAAATTGTAAGCTAATTTCAAAACCTGTTAGATGGAAGATGGAAATGACTATAGATGTACTACACAATAATGTAGTTGTTGCATTTCATCTGAAAATAAATACAAAGCAGCTTTATGCAGAGTGCACTAAACCAAGACACATACATTGCAAGGGAATGCCATGGGTACAACAGTATTGCTTGATATACCAGTCAAAGGTAATAAAAGGTCAGTACCTTTCTCTACAGCAACTTGGGCTTCTAAGGACAATTAACATTTCTATTACCATCTCAAGTTATATATTTTTTCCTTCAAAGGAAGATCACCAAACACAACCAGAATTATTTCTTTTCAGACCCAGCATGTAATATATTTTACCTTTTTTATTTGTATAAATGAGTGTATTGTGAATGTATGAAATCTTATGAAATAGCATGACAGGTAGTGTATCCATAGGCATATTAAGCTGGAGAGTACTATGATAGAGCTACTAAGATCCTAACTATGAGCCAGAGATGAGACAATTTGCAAGTCTCTTTCTCTCACTCTTCTTGGATTAGGCACCTTTCCACCAATATCATATCACCACTCTCTCATGGTCAGTGATATGGAGTGGAGTCCTACATCAAAAATTGAACATGGTATTTGCACACAAAATACCCTAGGTCTCTATACGTTTATGAACATCAAAAGTGTAGTCAGAGCACTTACCAGCCAATGGATATAACTGTTGAAGTGGCAATCATGTCCTCACTACGTCTACCTAATAGATAGATAGAATAGAGATTATAGAGATGGAGATAATAGAGATCTAGAGATGGTAGAGGTAGAGATAGAGATAGAGGGAGGGGGAGGGGGAGGGAGAGGAGAGGAGAGAGAGAGAGATGTTTTCCTCTTTTCCTTTTTTTTCATTGTTTTGCCTTTCACATTTATACTTCCTGAGGTTAAAAAAAATCTCTTGAGAGAATGTGGGGAAAAAAAACCTGTTTCTATTACCAATAAGGAGGAAAATAGTTCCTAACAATATTTTGCAGCAAATGAAACATAGCAGCTGAAATGTCTTTCCTTTATTACAGCAGTATATAACTTTCCACCAAGCTTTTAATTTCAAGGAAATGACTCCACTCCCTGTACAATATTCTCCCTTTTACTTTCTTTCAAATAAGAATATGGATTTTTTTTTCTTTTTAGTTTGTGGCTTGCCATTAAAATAAGCCACACTCCATCTAAACCAAACACATTTATCATCACTATAGGTTGGATGCAGAATATCCTTTCTACAAATAAAACTTGTCTTCGGTTTCCAGAAAGAAATCAGAATTAGTTTGTGGAGGAGTGGTGGTAGTGGTGGTATTAAATCTCCCTTCTCTGTTCAACACACACACGCACGCACACACATGGTTCCATATCCTCTTAGAGCAGTTTTTCATGGGGCAGGAGACCAAGTTGAACCTGGAAAGTTCTTAATGTGATCCCACCATTTTATCTTTAAAAGGCAGGAACAGGGTTTCAAGGGTAGGACACCAAAGCTTCTCACACAAAGGTTCCTTAATGCATTGCAGCAGGCCTGGCTTTCCATATTATGAACTATGTCCAGGTATACACATTACTATTTAAAGAAGACTCATCCCTGTCCCATCTGGCTTTTAGCTCTCTTATTTTGGTTTTAGCATAGTTCTTAATAATATTTTAATTCGGTGCTGTTTTAACATTTTAACTATTTTTTTACTTGTTTTATAACCTGTAAGCCTCCCAGAGTCACCGTGTAGGGGAGAGAGATGGCATAAAAATTTAATAAATAAACATAAATATTGCCAGGAGGCAAACGATCTCATAATAGCACTACATGCGGCAAAGATAATTCATTTTACAGTTGCACTCCAAAATGTAATAGACATTTTCATTTATGGTAATATATCATTAACAAATTATCTTTCAAAGAATATCTAAAGAACAAAATTCTTAAATCATTTTTTAATCAAAGATTTAGCACATGAAAATAGCACATTTGCATGGACTATGGAAATATCTATTCTGTGGATGTTTTTTATATTGAAGGTTCCAACAATGCTGGAAAATGGGGTAGGCAGCATAAGATCCTCAAACAGCTATTCAACTATCTCCAGGGTTTATAAGCTGCTGGCAACAGTGAGTTGGGACTGAGGCTGAAGAGAAAGTGAAGTCTAAGAACATATATGGAGGACTAAGAGGTTGCCACATTATCAAGATGTGGCAGGATAAGGCTGTCATCCATGAAGACAGCTGAGCCACAGAGAGTTTGCTTCACATATCTTGCCTATCCCTGGTTTCCATCACTGTAAAGTGTTTGAGTTCTATGAAAACAGAGGGAATCTATGACAGGAAATGCTAACGTAAAGCCAGAGTTCCTTCTTTGAGGGAGAAATAAATAGAACATCTAAAGAGAAACGCAAAAAGCTAACTCCTGCATTTCTTACATCTTTAAAAGTTACATGTCAGCTAGGCCTGACCAGGGCCGTCTTAACAGCATTATGGGTCCTGGGCATAGCAGTGAATTGGGGCCCCTACAACAACTACTCACAGGAATAAAAATGTAAATGGTCTATAAAATTAAACATATATTTATTTTATTGGCACTTCCAACAAAATCAGTGTTGAAACATTAAAAACATGCTGTGCAGCAACAACTAAGCAACATGATAAACATTTGAACACTACACAAGGCTTAAAAAACACAATAATACTCACTAAACCATACAGTTGCTGTATTTATATGATACAAGGTGCATTGAAGTGTTAAGATACACAGATTAGTATGCTCCCATGGGCCCCCCTATGCTCGCGGGGCCCATGGGCAAGTGCCCGTCAGGCCCATGCGTTAAAACAGCCCTGGGCCTGACAAGTAAGATGTGCATAAGTGCACCAGCGTGCCTACTGTCCCTGTCCTAATGTTCCTTTTTATTTGTATCCATCTCATGTATTCATAATTATGTCTATACTTACATATGTTATCTAATACATGCTTGATGAAATAAATAAATAAAATAAAGTATCATGTAGCCAGATTGAAATGGACAAAACTGGTTTGTGCAGCCAAAGAAGTGATATGACAGACTTATAGTCATTTCTAATTTACTGATGAAGTTTTGTGAAAACAAAATAGCAGTGAAAACACAATGAAATTTTAAAATAGTGTTAAAAAAACAAGAGCTATAGAGCCTTCCCCAAAAGACTGACAAGAAATGTGCCCAAGAATAATTAGCTTCACTGAGGGCTCATAACAGTATGGAAAAATCAGGATTTTTCAACAGCTGGAAACAAATGATTGGAACATTACTTGTGAAATAAGATCAAGAAACAGCTTTGAGAATAATAATTAGTACAGTATAAAATTCGCTGGCGGCATATTGCGGCATTAAGATTTTATGTGAAGCCTAGTCATATTCTTCAATAGGAGCAGAAATCAAAAGATATAGGAACTGCCTGAAACTGGATTTTTGTAGTGTCTGGCTGAGAGATAGGAGGAATTGGGCAGGCCATTCAAAGGGAGTTTCGTAATAATCTCATCCTATGGTTCTGGGCACAATTTTTGCAGATATCTTGATCTCGGCTTGCTGAGCACTAAGCCTATTTCCAATAAGACTGTGCTTCTCCAGGAATTAGCTATGGAGGGCCAAACAGACTTAACATATCTCACAGTAGCCTTGTTTGGGCAAAGTTGGGGTCATTACCCTTTCTGAGAGCTGTCCTCCAAATTTTCAGGTATCTTAGTAGCCGTGCTATCAAGGAGGCATAATAATTACGATCCTTCATGAGAATGTGGCTGTTCCCAGAAGGCCTCCTCCAGAGATGACTGCAAATGATTATCTCTATCTAAGTTGGGTCTGAGGTTCAAGCTAGGGATTCTATTGTATGTTTAGTTGACTAGATGTTCTTTGGTCTCATTTTGGGAGGGTGTTACAGATACTGTTTGTGCAGGTGACTTCAGTCTCTATAGTTTGGAGATGGTTCAGGAATTCATTGTCTCCATGACAATCATGGGGTTGTCCTAGTTGACATGGGTTCTTAAGCATATCGATAGATTCATTTGATTGAAATGTATTTGCATATTAGTAGTTCGGGTTGGTAGTTGGGCTGTTGGTTTGAGCTCTGAGCTTGGCAATTTGGTTGCAAATGTTTCTTTTTTTTTTTGAACAAATTTTTTTATTGTTTTTAAAATTCAAACAAATCAAAAACCACTTATCTATTTAAACATTTATGCAACCCCCCCTTCCCTCCCCCCTCCCCCGACTTCCCAGAAGAAAAACAGGTATAGGTTTTACCAAACATACGCTAAAATATGCTAAATTAATGCAAGACATTAAAACTCCCTAGACCCCTTAACTCCCCTTCTACAGATTATTCATCAACCTCCCTTTAAACACAAAATAACATATAATCCTTTAGCCCTAAGAATTTTTTTAAAAAAAAAACCAATAACAAACACTAGTAGATAATACATACTTAATCATTTAGCTATTCCTCCTGCTTTGTTCTCAATATTCAAATATTTTTAACAATAACTAAACCTTAATTAATCATTAATTGAACTCTCAATTCATTTAATTAATCATTGTAGTTAATCATTAATACATCAATAGTTAGACCAGAAAAAATTAATCTTTCTTTCTTCCTTTCTTTCTGTATTTTTTCCAATCTTTCTTCCTCCCACCTTCTTTTATTTTGAGGAGGTTTTGAATTTTAACTGGGGATTGATGTATCTTTAAGACTTGTCCCTTTCTCGGAACCATTTCCTCTGATTTAGAGCCCCCATATTGACTCTTCTTGCTTGTATAGACAGTCAGTTCATAGAACAAAGAATTAACTCGATCATTTTGCAAAGAAAAATCCAGTTGCTGCATTTCAATTAATTGTGTGAAAGCCTCTGCCAAATCCTCCGAAACCTCATAGAGCTGATCAGTTTCTTCTTCTTTCTGCTCCAAATTATATTTTTGAAAAGTTCTGTCAGTTAATTCCAAAAGGGCAGGAAGAAGGTTTGAAGATTCTTGAAGGTCAGCCAGTTCCAGCTTCTCTGTCTTGATCAAAATGTCTCCTGCATTGTCATTATGCTTTCCTTCAAAAACATCCTCAGTTGCTTTTTTATCCACCACCAGTTCTGTAAATTTTTGTTCCATGATTACTGTAAAGTTATTAATAATTTCAATTTGGTTATTCATGGCTTCCTTTATAAATTCTGCAAAGTCTCTAAAAAAAAACCTCCTGGCTCTGTGTTTCAGTTCTCTGTGTCATTTCTAACGCCATTAAAGAGCCTCCACTTTCAGAAACTCCTTCCTTCGAAGCCATATTATTTTAAAAGAATTTTTCTTTTCACAACCATCAAGTCTCTCAAGCAGCTTTCTCAAATTTATTTGTAATTTATCAAGCAAGATAGTCTTTTCTAGACCCAGCTCTTAAATCCAGCAATTTAAATCCAGTCTCTGAGCACAAGTCTCTTAACAAGCGCTTTCATTTCCTGCTTTCACTTTCACACCCAAAACAAAGACAAAGATTTCAACATCTATATTCCTATGGCCAGAGAACTATGAATATTGCATAATTAGAGATTAAGCATGTGATCCCTTTGAATTCTTGGCAAATTTTAGAGTCAAGGTATAAAAAAGGACTTTTCTTTCCACCCTTGAAAGATGGATTGGCTACAGAAAGAAAATCATGATGTAACTTTAGGGAAAGAGGTTAAAATATAGTTGTATTTAAAACTACTATGAAGAATATCAAAAGCTACTTCTTTGTAACTTTTTTTCTTTTTGTTGCACTTTTGGCTTCTCTTTGATTTCTTCCTTTTTCTTTTTTGCGTTACTTTATTTTAGTTTGTTTAGTTTTTTAATCTTCCTTTTTAGAAGTTTTAACAAAAAATATATGTAACAGCCTAGAAAGCTGTCAGACATAGGAGTTTATGTTTTGACCTTCAGTCCCATGAAAAAACTGTGATACTATAGAAAAATCTAAATTTGAAGATAGTGGGGAAGATATTTTACTTAGTGCTGGAGCCAAAGAAGGCATAAATACCTTAAATCAACTGATTTATAGTGGTTATTTATAAGGGATTTGAGAACTTGTGTTGTGACTATGACTTATCCTCAACATCTACGTGATATTATATACAGTTGAAAATACTGTCAAAACAATATTAAATGTAATAATTTAATATTTTAATTTCAAAATCATGCTTCACTCCATAATGACTCTGGATGGGTTACTTTAAAAAAGAAAAGAAAAAAAACCAGAAAACAGTATATATTAAAGGGAAAAAAATATAAACCAACTACTCCAAATGCCTTAAAAGCATCAAATATACCTGGAAATATAGGCTTCTTAAGGGATTCTGGACTTAAAGTGAAATCAAGAATTCAATTTTACATGGCATGAAAAAGCAAACCAGGCTGAAGGTTATAATATGCATGAAATGCAGAATGAGGAATTGGAATGTCCTTTCTTAATAATAATAGATGCAAGTTTTAAGAAATGGGAAATATAATTTCTTATGATTTAATAATGAAGTTAATTTGTCAGAAAATATTATTTCATATTCATTAAATGGTTTAGATTTAATGATAAACTTAAAGACTGGATTAATGTAGTAGTGATTACATGGAACTTATTTTTTTATTATTAGTGTTTAGTTTAGTTTAATCACCATAATGTATATAGGTCATCTCTCTCTCTCTCTCTCTCTCTCTCTCTCTCTCTCTCTCTCTCTCTCTCTCTCTCTGTGTGTGTGTGTGTGTGTGTGTGTGTACTCTGTGTATATTCAAAATGTACAGTACCTTGCTTACTAATTCCAGAAACTCTGATAAAATTAGATGTCCTGCGATACCTGCTGTCTTATTATAGTAGTTATTTCAAATAATCAGGATAGGTTAAGAGAATAAGGAACTTCCTCCTTCCATGCTACAGTTGTGAAGACATCAACAGCCAGATTGATGAATGTCAGAGAGGATATGGTAAAAACTGAAAACAAAAATAACAAATTGTTGAAACTGATATTCTAAGCAAAGTGAATTTTCATAACATTATTAATTTTATGCACACATGGGATTTTCTTTTAGTTATGAAATAACAAAGAATTCCATGTCCCAAAGGTGCTTTTTTCAAGAGGCAACTGGACTTTCTGGTTTTTCTTTGAAGACGTTTTGCTTCTCATTCAAGAAGCTTCTTCAGCTCCGAAGAAGCTTCTTGGATGAGATGTGAAACATCTTCAAAGAAAAACCAGAAAGTCCAGTTACCTCTTGAAAAGCATCTATGGGACAACCATGACCTGGATGACTGAGAATTTCCATAGACAAGAATTCCATGCATTTCTGAAGCTTCATCAGAGATAGAAGCTCCATGCAAGGGGTTCTAGATCACAGCAAATCAAATCCTAATTTGCTAGACTATATCATCACCCAGGCTATGGTGAGGAAGAGTGAAACCTCTTGCTTCATCATGCTTGCCATCTTTTTTCTTTATTTTTAGGTTTCATTGATTTAATTGTAATTTCTTTATTTGGTTGTTATAAGCCACTCAGAGTTGTTGAGAATCAAGAAGCATGCAAGTTTCCATCAGTCTTAGACTGTAATTCTAGCCATAGTGTTCCTGTATATAATACTGTGTTCTCATTTAAAAAGTGCAATTTAAAACAATTTGGCCTACATGTATCATTCATATACTATCAGATAAAAATATCCACTGTTAATTGCTGCAGTTCCTTTTCCCACCAGATTTCTAGCCCAAGGCTGATGAATAATTCTAATTTGTATCAAGCACTGTTGCACGATCACCATGCCATATGATGCGCACTGAAATTCAGAAATATATTAAAAGCATTTTTAATGAATATTAGTCATGCAGTCAACTTACATAAGCCCCTTAAAGCAGGTTTTGTATTAAGAGCCAGAATAAAGCTCCCACTATATCCCAGTCCTAGGCATAAGACTACTGATAATATTCAGACCATAATAAGACTTTCATCTAAAATGCTGAGATAGCTGTTTTTGTTTAACCTAGTCATGCAGTATCTAAGCAGCATTACATTCTGGTGTGTTATTAAAAAAAACAAAAACATTTTCCCTTGAGCACTTGAACATTTTAAAATACAGCTGGGCCTTAAAATGTCAATCTCTGCCTCTAGGATTAATCACAGCGTCTATTTATCTACCAAAATGGGGAGAGGAGGAATCACACAAATATCAGTGGATTTCTCTTACATACATAACCAGCCACTGCTGAATTTTAAAAATAAACATGTACTAGGATAAAAATAAAAGTAAAGGAACTGTTCTTAGTTTGGACCTGGGGACAGCAAGCAAAGTGATTAGACATGTATTTTGTCCCCTTCTTCTATTACATCCCAACAAGCACTTGTAGATGTAAAACTCACATTCATTTCCCATTTTTCACTTCATTCCCTATACAATGCCAGTGAACTGAACCCTATTTGTATTTATATGTGAAGACTCATAAGACTTTCTTTAAAAGGATCTGGTTCTATGGGAGGAAACGATCCCGTTGCGAACCGATACTAAAGGTAGGTAGAACCCACCCCTGAATTAAATCAGTATCCAGTGTCCATAAAAGCCATGATGTTAGCACGAGTCAGGGACTCTAGGCAAGATGTCCTCTGGTTTCCATCTCTTTGGATGCCACTGGAATTAAGCAACAGGTTAAACAATACTGCCTATTTGCTAAGGCAGTCATATCCCTAGATCATTTACAAAGACATGATAATCTGTTTTATTATTCATATCCCCATTATTTAACTCTTCTTCTCTCTATATATTAAAGTTCCTTTCTTTCTTTCTTCCATTATTTAATATTTCAATAGTGACTTCTAATATCAATCACAATCATTTAAAGCATTCAACATATTCCTATTCTGTCTTTTTTTCTACTTTTCTCATTCAAACTCTAGTTTTCTTGTTCCATATAATTCTACTATTATTACGCATAGCTATATCTACTTATCACATTACCTACACAATAGTCATATTTTACACACTTTTGATAATATCATCATTCAACCTCTCATTTCCAATTAATAGTAAATTCTCATTTATAATTTTTCCATAGTTACATATCCATTTATAGTAAAATGTTTGTCCTAATATTTATTATATTACATACCAACTCATTATTCACTCTTTTAAATTCTCTTGGTTTCAATTGATTCACTTTCTCAAACTATAGCATCTTTCCAGGTGCAAAGAGTGAAGCTCCAGTCACTCCTGGATGAATGTGTGAATTTCCCTCTCAAAACCATTTGGACTCTTATGGATGAATGTGTGAATTTCCCTCTCAAAACCATTTGGACTCTTATGGAGGACCAGGGATCTCCAAAATTGACAAACTTTAAGACTCGTGGACTTCAACTCCCAGAACTGGCTGGGGAATTCTGGAAGTTGAAATCCACAAGTCTTAAAGTTGACAGATTTAGAGACCCCTATGATAAATGATGCCAACATGAAAATAAACCATCCCTTGAGCTGACATTAACTCCTGGTGAAACCCCTTCCATAGAAGCTTCTGGTATGTTTTTGATCAAATATATATCCCCTCCCCGGACTTCCCAGAACAAATGCAGGGTAAAAACATTTAACAAACCTTAATAAAAAACCCCACAAACTAGCTATTTATAGATTTAACTATCACTTGTACTTTAACTCTCCTTGTTCAAAACAAAATATAACTTTTCTTGCTTAAAGGTAGTTAATCCCAGTTAATTCAACAATAAACAAACAATTTAAAGTCCTTGAAAATATATTGAGAGATCTATAACCTTAAATTTAACATCCAAAAGAAAGTTTCTCTTTTAATCCATTACTTAAAGTAATTTTTAGATATAATCCTCCAATCATAACCATATATCCTTAATCACATTTATATAACAGTTGAAACATCCAGTCATAAATAAAAAAATTTTCAAAACCGAACAAATCATATCCTTAATAAAAATTAATCATGTCTTGAATACCAATACAATCACCTCCACAGAATAACATTAATGTATATAACCTTAAATTTCCAAAAGAAAATTTCTTTTTTAACCTAAAATCAACTTTAAATCATAAAAATCCGTTTTTATAATCCATCTAATCATAGGTAAAAATTCACATTTATATAACAGTTGAAACATCCAGTCATAAGTAAGAAAAAAAAATTTAAAATCTTGAATACCAATACAATCATTCACCATGTTATCCTGCCTAACAAAGAGAAATAAAGTTCTTCCACTTCCATTTCCCCCTGGTTTTTTTCCGAGCCTTCTTCTTCCGCTTTATTCCACCATCTTTTATTTTTACAAGTTTTTGTGTATTCAACTGTAATTTTATCTTCCAATCCTGTGCAGCTCGCAAAGTAGTTCCTTTTAAGAAACACACCTCTTTAATTAGGATTAAAAGTCTATTTTTATAAAGAAATTGTAATGTTCCATTTTTAATCCTTCTTGATATCTTGAAAATCCAAGCTTCTCCCAGCACTTTTCCTCTCATCTGCATACAAGACCTCTGGATAGATCTCTCTCCATATCTCCAGATTAACCTCCTTCAAGCCCATCAGCTTATTCATAGTTTGGAAAACATCCTTTCCATGTTCCTCAGGCGTTTTTGCTTGAATTACTTGTTCTTCCTCCTCTTTCAGCATTACATCTTTGTTATCAATTAGAGTAATAAACTTCTCAAAGATCTCATCCAGTCTTTCCATAAATGATTTTTGCCATGCTTTCAAAAAATCCACTGTCAGTATTTGTACACTTGCTGAATTATGTGCTGAAAAACCTCCATTCTCTTCAAAAATCTTTGCCTCTGCCATCTTTTCTTATGCTGCAAACTTCATTCAGCAAAGCTTCAAAGTACTGACAGCTAAAACGACCTTCTGTTCTCTATCAGCGCCATTTTGGATCTCTTTAAAACTTTCATTCGAATATGAAAGGACTCATTATTCATCAGAGTTAAAGGAAAGAAAAATATTTGCGAGAAGCTCTCCTGTTTTGTTCTGCCTGCGTAAAGATCGATCCTTGAAATCACTTGTTTCGCAGGGATGGTCGCAGGCGCCTTGATCCGTCAGAGACGGAATCCCGAGTCTGGAGCTGCTTTCCAGGCGTTTGGGGAGCCCTCACCCTCTGCACCTCCAGGATTAATCCTGGAGGTTTTGGGGGGCTCTACCCTATTCACCTGAGCATTCACCTCCCCCTCTTTGCCCGAGGGGGAAGTTCCAGCCGCCAAAACAGCTGATTTATGCTGTTTTGGCGGTTTTACAGATCCCGGGAGTAAGAGCTCACAAAGGAGCTGCAGCTTCTTATATTCTTGTTATTTCCTAATGATCTTTTATTATCCATGCAATAAACCTCTTGATTCTTGCTTACTTTTTTTTTTTTAATTTTAGATCAGCCAAGATTGGCTGCCCCTTGAGTGAAGCAACACATAGTAAATCAGGGTTCAATCCATTAGATAAAATAAGTAGATGCTATTGTAGCTATACTCAGAGTTTCAGAGTTTATGTATTTATTTATTTAGCATCATGAAAATGTACCAGGCTTTACAAAGTTTACAAACTTACAAACTTCCATCCCAAAGGGTTCCCATTATGTATTGTATATAGTATATAGTTGTCAGTTGAAGTTCTCATTCTGGTCCTATGTTGGAGCAGGAAAATACTCTCTCCTAATTGGTTGTTTGGCTGATCAGTTACATATAAAAGGAGCTGTGTCATCCAGGGAGACAGTTTGCCTCACAGGCGATATTGAATAAAGAACTGTTAGAAATCACTCCGGCCTCGCCTCCATTCTTTGCCCAGAACTTAACAGTTCCCATCTTAAAATAAAATAACCCTAAAAGCGATATAGAGGACTAAAACAGAATGAGGTGAAAAGTTATACTGCGTGATCCCTTCTGCTCTGAAAGCAGTGATTTTTCAGAAATGCCTCCCACAGCCATTTTCTGGGGGCAATTATACATTCTCTTATGTA